CATCATACATAATTCTACTACTAGTAAAAAAAGGGAGACCTGTTTCAATTCTGGCTGCATCAAGCTGCATCTGCTCTAATTTGTTACAATAACCCACACCCATATTATCCTAAACTTCGCAGGCATATTCGATTAACGGTCTTATTAAAGCCAAGTATAGCTTTTCTAAGTTATTCCTACTTATTCTGTACTTTATTGTTCTAAGTACATTCAAATGTTTAGATACATTTTTTAATGATACTTTCCATTTAACATCTCTACTAAATGTAACACCCAAGTGGTTATCAAAATCTGTAATTTGAATATTCTTTCCATTGAATGTGAAATTCATTTCCGGAGTTTCAATGTATGAGAACAACATAATTTCTGTTTTTTCTGGGTTAAAGGACATCAGCCATTTCTTAGACCAATCGCTCCACTCACTCAAGTCGTGACTGATCACTGATTTTTTTTATTACACACCGTGAGATGGGGTGCAAGGCACATCACCGTCCTAAAAGAAAAATCAACAACAATGAAAAATCATCGTTCCTATAGCCGTAATTGTTTTTAAGATTTTATCGTATAAAATTGAAATAATTAAATCTTGAAAAGGACAGTTATTGCTGTTTATATTAGATTTATTCCAAGCAAGTTCCCTCGTGTAAATTTCGGTATTTGTGAATTTGTTGATTATTTAATTTAACGCAAAAAATATTAAAGTTATGGTAAGTGTTGTTGCCTTATCACTTGAATGGATAGAAGACCGATCTTTACTAAGTTTGACCATATTTCTAGATTCATAACAACACAGGAACAGGTCTGCTATTAAAGTGGTGCAATTGATACCCACACGAATACCGTTATTGCCAAAAACCTAAAGAGATGTTGTAAAGGAGAAAATTTACAATTTTAATCATCACATCAAACTACATATAAGAATATTATATATATCAAGCATATTAACCTTTTTCATTAGAGAATAAGACTAGATATAAGTTGCAGCAAATAAATTGACCATCAGATTTTTAAAGGACAATCTAAATAAATAAGAAAACTTGATAAACTTATATTTATATCATAAATTTTGTAAGCGCTCAAACATATGGATAACAAGAAACAAGTAGATTAGCTTATATTAGACTTTAGCTATGTGTTTTGTGTTTGATGTAGTCCCACACATGCATCTTTTACGGATAATAGAGCATTATGGTATAAAAACAAAATACTTGAATGGATAAAGGCTTGGCTCATACATCATAAACAGTATTTGGCATATAAAATTGAAACACCTTTGAATTACTCTGATGAAATAAGAAGTACCGCAAGGAACAGTTTTACCCTTTGAAGTACCTTTTGTACATCGATGTGATGACATCAAGTGAAAGCTGTGAATTTTTGCAAATGATAGACTTTTATACCCGACATTATATTGTTCTAATGACTGCAATAAGTTACAGAAACATCGGGACAAATTAATGACAGATGAAATTTAATGCATAAAGAAGTGTTATGTATTCAAACAAGAAAATTTATATTATGCATAAATACCACATTAAAGACAAAATTGATGAAGTTTTTGACCAAACCAATATTTAGAAGTTCAGTTTATACACACATTTAATTGGAATATACACATCAATTACATTATTACTTCAAACCAAAACATTTATTAGGCTTCCAAAAGTGCACATCAAGCTTTTTCAAAGCCAAATGTTAAATATTCGAGTAGCGATTGGGTTTCATATCATTAAAAGGATAGAAATGGTGCAAATAAGATCAACCTGTTTGAATGAACATCAATACAGTATAGAACCTGGATCAGGTACTAACATACTGAATGATTTGAATTACCAAATAGAGTACTGTTTATACATGGACTTTCACTCCAATATTTTTGAATGTTACCTGGACTTTCACTCCTTTGTTTTACTGTTGATACCTGGACTTTCACTTCAATGTTATACTGTTTTTACCTGGACTTTCACTTCAATCTTTTACTTTTGTTACCTGGACTTTCAATCAATGTTTTACTATATTTACCTGGAGTTTCACTCCATTGTTTTGCTATTTTTACCTGGACATTCATTCCAATGATTTACTATTTTAACCGGGACTTTCACTCCCTTGTTTTACTGTTTATACCTGAACTTTTATTTCAATGTTATATTGTTTTTATCTGAACTTTCACTCCAATGTTTTACTGTTGATATCTGGACTTTTGCTCCTGTATCTTTTTTATTGTTACCTGGACTTTCACTCCAATTTTTTATTATTTTTATCTGAACTGTCACTCCATTGTTTTAGTGTTTATACCTTGACTTTCACTTCAATGTTTTACCTGGACTTTCACCCGAATGTTTTACTGTTTATATCTGGACTGTCAATCCTATGTTTTACTGTTCATCCCTGGACTTTCACTGCAATGTTTTCCTATTTTCACCCGGACTTTCACTTAAATGTTTTACTATTGTTACCTGGACTACCACTCCAATATTTTACTATTTTTACCTGGACTTTCACTCCAATATTTTACTATTTTTACCAGGACTTTAACTTTTTTGTTTTACTGTTGATACCTGGACTTTCACTTCAATGTTATACTGTTTTTTGTGAACTTTAACGTCTATATTTTACTGTTTATACCTGGACTTTTACTCCTATGTTTTTTTTATTGTTACCTGGACTTTCACTTTAATGTTTTACTATTTTTACCTGGACATTCACCCCAATGTTTTACTATTTTTACCTGGACTTTCACTCCTTTGTTTTACTGTTGATACCTGGACTTTCACTTCAGTCTGTTACTTTTGTTACCTGGACTTGCACTCAATGTTTTACTATATTTACCTGGACTTTCACTCCATTGTTTTGCTATTTTTACCTGGACATTCATTTCAATGATTTACTATTTTTACCTGGACTTTCACTCCTTTGTTTTACTGTTTCTATATCTTTTTTATTGTTACCTGGACTATCACTCCAATGTTTTATTATTTTTACCTGGACTGTCACTCCTTTGTTTAAATGTTGATACCTGGACTTTCACTTCAATGTTATACTGTTTTTATGTGGACATTCACTCCAATGTTTAATTGTTTGAACCTGGACTTTTACTCTCATGTTTTACTGTTTTTACATGAACTTTAACTCCTATGTTTTACTGTTTTTACCTGGGCTTTCACTCCAATGTTTTACTGTTTTTACCCTGACGATCGCTCCTAATTTTTATCATTTTTTCCCTAACGTTCGCTCCAATGTTTTATCATTTATACCTGGAACTCCAGTCCTATGTTTGACTGTTTTTACCTGGACATTTCAGTTCTATGTTTTGCTGTTTTTAACTGGACTTTCACTACAATGTTTTATTGTTTTTACCTGGACATTTCACTCCTATGTTTTGCTGTTTTTAACTGGACTTTCACTCCAATGTTTTACTGTTTTGACCTTGACTTTCACTCCTTTGTTTAATGATTTATACCTAGACGTTCACTTCTATGTCTGACTATTTTAACCTAGATGTTCATTTAAATGCGTGACTGTTTACACCTGGACCTTCGCCTCAATGTTTGACTGTTTTTTCTAAGACTTTCACTGGTGTCTTTTATACAATCTTTAGTTGACAAAAAATGAAGCCCTTAAGAATGAAAAATGCGGATAACATTGTTAAACAATTCCATATTAGCAGGTGTACCAAAAAGATACCCCGTTTCCTCGCCCGAAACCATACTATAAGCTGTGTTTTCACTTCGAGCAACCAGGTTGAATTCTATAGATGGACTACCTACTGCCAATCTGGCAATTTGGTTAAATATTATATTTGCGCACATTCGGTGTTTATTGTTTTTACGATTTCCCACAGTATTTTATTACATTTTCCCAAATTAATTCTACAGGTAACATACATGTTTACTTACAAAGATAGTTAATAATTTTGCATAAATTCTAATTGCAAATTTTGATGATTGAATAGAATTATGTCTCCTAAGAAAAATGCATAGAGATTTTTTAAGGTTAAGGAACGGTCAATTGGCACATATGTTGCTGAGATTTTGCAAACAAATTTTAAACGTTGACCTTTAACTGTTATATTTGTGAAAAATTATTGACCGAAAATCGTTAACATAATTCAACGCATGTATACAATGTATAATACAATATTGTTTCCGTATATGCAGCATACACGAATATGTAGATCTGTACATTTTACTCTTAATATTACAATTGAAATTTTAGCTTTATAAAGACTAGTTTGTATGTATCTATGATTCAAAGCTTTGTATGGCTGATTTTACGGTATGGGTTTTGCTCAATTTATTTTGCGGTGACATACAATTTTTATTTTCGCTTATTTCAAAATCTCTCAGATACTTGTATCATTGGCAGTCATATCTTATTTCCCTATTTTATATTGTGAATGCATTTTTTTGTCTCTATCATATTGTCGATAGCCATAGAATTTTTCTTGGTTCACTGCAATGCCAATTTTATCAAGCACATCAATGAATTTTGTTTCGAAGGAAAAATCAAACAGAAAGTCCCTTAACAAAAAGCAAAATCAAAAGCTCAAACGAATGGAAAACAAAGGATTAGAATGAATCTCGACTGTTCGTTGAAACTATCTTAAAATTTTTATTTCATAACACTGTAATATTTTTTGCAGTAAACGATAAAGGGATCTATAGGGTGTGTATCAATTGGATATCAAACCACAAACACATAAAATAGATGTGCAAAAGATGTGCAGAAGAATGAATACTGTATTGAGTAATAGAGAGAACCGCTTGATACCTTCAATATATTTATACTCTTGTCATGGTTAGAAAACTAGTTTCATTCTTATTTTCCGTTGACCTTTACGTTTTAATCAATACTGGATAATTTTCATTCATTATTTATTGTTGTTATTTTAGTATCTTGTATTTATTATCTTCTTCCTTCTTTTTCGTTCTTGTTTGTACCTAGAAAGCATTTAGTTTGTACTCAACAACTATATTGATAAAAGATAACATATAAACACATCAGTTGCCCTATCATTTTATTCGGATTAGAATATGATGTTCATGCTATTGATAGAGTTTTACTATCATATGTTCAATCATCTCGACATAGTAACACAATTACAATCACCGGTAGTTGGTGTAACCCAAGGACAACATATGCATCGATACACCGTCGGTGAAGTAATGTGGACATTGTCACAATCTGTAAATACATTCACTCCATTAAGTATTCCTCGGCTGAAAATATCAAGAAGAATAAAATTAACCCTATTTAAACTTGTCGAATAGAACATGTTTAAACTATTGTTTTTCAAATGATTTGTTGCAATACAAAAACAAACTTTTTTATGAAAAAATAGTTGTTCAATTTTGAGGGTCCCGGTTAAAGAGGCATTAGCTTTCAAATTCATGTTCACCGATTTGACACAAATTCTCATACTAAAACGTTTATCGAAATTTACAAAAAGTCTAAAATAAAACATTAACAATGCATGGACTCGATAATATGTATCAACATTTTGTGGGTATTTTTGTCTAGAAGTAATCTTATTAACCATCGATATGACCAGCGAAACATAATTATAAATACAGATAGATGGCGATCACGTGCATTGGATTATTCTAGGTCTATTTGATTTCATACTGTAGGTTAAAAAGTTTGTGTATCATTGTTTTACCTGTATAAGAATGATTTGTTTGTGGCTCGAATCAGTCAACCTAAGGATTTATCCTTTTTTCACTTTCAATCTTGACATTCTTTTCCTTTTAATAACTGAATACATGCGCAACCCATCTCCAGCTAAGGAGTTAAATTAAAGGTCACATGAATACGGATTCAATGAGGTCGAATTATTCAAAGCAAGTGAATAATTCATCAGAGATGTTTCTTTGCTTATCTTTGACAAAATTGAACCAAATTGGCTACTAAAAGCGAGATATTATTTCAATTTTTCTAGAATATTGACGAGTATTACAAAAATGTAACAATTAAGTAAATGTTAATCTAGAGGTTAATGATAATGTGCAATTTACCTTTCGCACAATTTTAAATGATTGCAGGTTCTTCCTGAATCAATACCATAAACTGTCTTTATCCCTTGGCCTCTACATCCGTTACTAAGCCAATTGATTTTCCTTTTGGTTCGACTTCCTAAAAAAGAAATGCTACAATCGATCCATATCTTTTTTTATCGTCCAGATCACATATCAACAAGATGAATAGAAGAATTATCTTTGAACAAATGCGCCGGAACATTCGTGGCATTGATACAACTCTCACATTTATTTATTCGTTTTAGTGAGGTACTATTACAACATGGATGTGAAACACATACAATTATCTCTTAATTCCATCGATTGGCAGGGATTCACAATATGTGTTATGAATGCATATATCAATTTCTAACTTAACACTTACATCAAAATTATATTTATTTAACAGTACTTATTTCTCACATCTAAACAAGAGAGAGTATGCAGAATATGTTTCCAATACCTAATTATATTTTGATGTTGTCATAGCAAACGATCCTGTTTTGGACTATATTAAATTCTTTTATAAGTGTTATCTCCCCTATGCAAAAACACCAGGATGTCAGGCATAAAAGAATGACAATGAAGTTAGTCTGAAACTTGATCTACTATTTTTATCTTTGGGTTTGTGTCATGTTTCGCCAATATGGTCACCCTCCTTTAAACTATATCTTATATTATTGACGTTCATCATTCATTATTATCCAAGAAAAACTTTTTGAACTAAGTGTAATAAAAGCTTTGATATTACACCTAAATTGATATGTGTTACTGAAATTATCAAGGAGATATCCCTATCAGCGCCATGAGTCTTTACAAATTTATGTTAATATAACATATAAAGCTAGATACAATATAAAACATACTCATTTTACGTGTTCTTGTTTTCGGAGGCTTGTTGTCTCTATTAAACCCGATCTCATTATTTTAACAAGTTTTCAAGTATTAATGTGGTTTTTTTTTTAAACATTTTTGCGAAACACTTCACAACATAGTTTCTGTGCAGATTATCCTTGGTTCACATACTCAGTACAAAGTATAACTGTCAGCCAAATAGAGACTGAATACAGAAAATAGTTAACGTTTCTTATATTTTGGAAATTTGACTTTAAATACATAGAACCTTATTTACCTAAAGAACTAGTCATATTAAATACTTCAGCATCTTTTGGAACCTTTATTTCCTTGTAAAGAGGGTATTTAAAATCCTGGTAAAACTCTTTCAAAGACTGCCCAAGAGAATTGTAGTCAATGATTTCATCGAAATCGGCATAATACATTTCCGTGACGACCACTTCGTTTGTACTATTTATAGTTTTATCGCCTTTGTTCTGTTTAGAAAAAGAAAAGTAGAGATTATTCTTCAATTTTAAAACACACACACGTATACATACATATCTATCTATCTATAAAAATGTCTAAGACTTTAACTTAAACACGCTGATTGATACATTGAAAAAGTTCTACGGTATTAGATTTGAAATAGATATACGCAATATTTAGATAGACAAACTAGCTTCATCAGGCGTGTGCTTCTGTCCAGGTATAATCGGATGCATGACAAAAATATTTTTGTAGTTTAAACTACACGCAGTCGGAATAAAAGTTTAACATATACATATATATTTGCATTTTTGCGCCTGTCACAAGACAGAAGCCTCTGGCCTTTGTTAGTCTTGTCTGTTTTTTTTAATTTTAGTTCATTTTTATGTTTCGGTGTTTGGTGTGACGTCCATTTTCACTGAACTAGTACACACTTTTGTTTAGGGACCAGCTTAAGCCCACCTCCGGGAGCGGGATTTTCTCGATGAGTTGAAGACCCATTGGTGTCCTTGGGCTTTTTTTCTGCTCTTTTGTCGGGTTGTTGTCTCTTTGACACAACTCCCATTTCAATTCTTAATTTTATATACATCGTGTACTGTGTTAACACCCTGGGAACGCCGACGAGGAAAAACATCACACAACTAACGAAAAATATATTTTATATAGCCTAGTTGGTCGAGTGGTATAGGGCGCTTGACATAGTGCAGGCGGTGTTATCATGATTTCTCAGATGCAAGGATTCGAATCCCACTGAAGAAAAAACAAACATTTGCTCTTGCAAATTTGCAGATCTAACATTGTTGGGCTAAATTTGAGACGATTAAATGGTGATTAAATGCCTCTTTCGAACACGAAATTACACTTGTGCATTTTAATCTCTTTAACATTATGTTAATGGTGACACTGGTCGAGGAAATCTCAATATGATTTAAACCTTATGACTGCGTAACAAATATATCGAGTTTTATAATGTACATATATGTTCAATTTTTATACCCAGCTGTGGATAAACCCCTCAGTAACTTGACCAGCATCTCCTTCGGTTTCTCCTTCTATGTCCCGCAGTCTGCATTGCTTCAAGGAAGGGAGACATTTCATCTGCTGACCCTGTAACGAAAACCGACTTTTTCAAAGAATGATAAAATCTTTAATAATGATGATGATAATGGATGGCTGCATACCGTCCAGTGGGAAATAAATATGCATATTCAGGACTAGAACATGTTAATGTTATATGAATATAAACCACTCTTTGCTCTTACTCCTAAATGCCGCGTGCTTAGCGGAGAAGCAGCAAATACCAATTTTAAAGTCTTTGGTTTGACCCGGCCGGGATTCAAACCGACGACCTCCCGCTCTCAATGTGAACACACTACCACTACCACAAGACCACTGTGACTGTATTAAAGTTTTAAGAAATGTAAATGAATTCGGTAGATGTACAATTTTCAATAGATATTATAAAAATTTAGAATACCGTTAAACAAAACATAATTGAATGTAGTTTCTTAGGGTAGTACTAGCGTATTATGTTATTTCCGATCACAAAATGCGTTATTTATCGGTCCAAATTGGTTCCTAAAATAAGCGAATCGGCTTAAAATACAGATCCTATGTGTCAAGGTTTGCTTACGAGGATCTGAAAGCGCTCCATTCTATTTTCTATTTTAAAGATCTATCGGGATCCTCTGGTTTTGTCTGATTAATACACACCTTCAAATATTTGAAGGCTAAAATTGCATTGGCCGATGTAATAATTACCAGAACAGAATGTAAAATGTAGTGTTGTCAGATCCTTGTAAGCAAAGCTTAGACACGTGATCTGATTTTAAACAGATTGGGAAAACTACAACTCGTTCATCGGACATTTCATTCCATTCGTATTGATATAATAAAGTAGATTAAAAATTGAATATTGGATATATTTATTATCATATGTTGCCCTTAACAATCCTTACATTTTCTGAAAGCATATACCTATGCATCCTTGGCTTTTAAATATTTGGCTTTAAACGTTATTGATGAAGGTGAATCCACCAAATTTTGTTTATTTGAACACTTTTTCATAATGAATTTCAAATTGTATCGTATAAAGTTTCGTTAGTTACTATTACGTAATTATGCTTTCGTCACTGTGTAAAACTTCTCTTTATATACATCTATATGATAATTGGCACAGTTTGGAAATTAGATCGGTGACCTATAATCTTTTCCAATTTTGTTTTATATAGCACGATAAGAATTACGTTTTGGCTATGTTCTTATATCATGAGCTCCAAAACGAAATGATACGGAGAATATCATAATCCCTTATAATGACTGAAACAAACAGATAATATAAATCAAAACGGAAATATTGTTATTCAAATTCAGTGTTGACCTCTATAAAAGATTATTTGAAGATATTATTAAGCAAATCGGTAAATTCATTTTTTAATAGAATGCAACCACATTTGTGTGTGTAATTATAAAAAGTTATGTTAACAAATCACCTTTCCTAGGTTATAGCATTGTCGGTAATCACAAACCTGACTGAAATCTTGAATTTGGTACGATTCCATAACATCATTGTGTGCAGGGGTGTGAATTTTTACTACATTCTTTTCTAGATTTGTTTCTATGTTTTCCGAATATCTGGCATTTCCTTCAATAACGTCATACCCAAATTTCTGAAAAAAAAACCGCATTTGCGTCTTAATATTACTTTTTAAAAAGTTTGAATAGACACCAAACAGGTCAGAAAAAGACAAGAGAAATGTTTTGAAATCAAACCAAAATGTTGAAAACAAAATAATTAAAAAAACAAACAGCGATAGAAAGCGAAGCAAATTGAAAACTGAACTCGATCAGCTGATCAGTAGAGTGACTTTTATAAATTCACCATATAAAAACTAAATTAGATCAGTAGAGTGACTTTTTTAAATTCACCATACAATAACAAATACAGTTTAAATAGGCGAACGGGAACCATTGACAAAAGTGAAAATATACAAATGACAATATATACTTATGAGTTATACTATTTGATTCTTTGGCATGATTTGGTCTTTGCTTAACAATATCACATGTTGACACGATATGTGATATAAATAAAGTACAGTTCAACATAAAAAAAAAATCAAAATTACAATACAAAATTATTATCATCAGTTATATCTTTGACTTGTTATTATTGGAGAATGTTGATCAGCCAAACATGTGTTATTATCATGCTTTCAATCCAAATACTTTAGCCTCTAAATATGTGTATACTTCTGATTCCATGCAAAACAATGAGTTGTACAAGAAGAGTAGCGTATTGTACTGACATACAGTGTTTTATTATACAGAAAGAAACTGGGTTATATTTTGAGACAATATATTGGTTGTTCTCCTTATACTGCAACTCTTACATCTTTTACAAATGAAATATTTTTTTGTTAACCTATCATTTCTTAAAAAGCTATATTTATATTGACGTCATAAATCAAACTCTACGGAAACGTATCGTAAACGTCATAAACAAGGCGATTTAAGGTCATTGACTATATGACAAATGACTATACGGTCAATTGAATATGACTGCGCAAATAGCATAGTTACAGTAGAAACAATCATTCGGAAGTCTCGGAAGACGAGTCAATTCAAATGATACAGAAAGTACGGGACAATGTTTGCTTCCAGTAAACAGTTCATATTCAGTAAATAGTTTTTTAAACTATTAACCGGTAAATAGTCTTTTTCAGGAAATTTCGTAAAAGGGTAAATGTATTCGTCAATAATTTTATATAGAAAATATATACTGAGGTATAATAATCAATGATATTTATTTAGATTGCGGAATATTTGCTTTTATCTAAAACATTATCTTTATTTATACATAACAATATACAACTTTGTCATATCTTTATATGAGGGTAGACATCTTGTTTATCTTGATTAAATGCAAAAAAAAAAAAAAAAAATACCGTGTGAGGTATATTTAGTTCTTGTATAAAGTTCATATAATCTTTACTCTAGAAATACGATGATAAAAAAAATATTTAAAAATCATAGTTGAATGATAGGAGTTGGAAAACACCAAGAGGACAACAATAAACAATAATAGAAAAAAAAAACCAGTAACTTGGTCAAAAAGAAAAACGCCCAATACACCAAAATATACTGCAGACAAAACATAAGATCGAGCACCAGAAACACCATTTACAACGGGGTGTTACTCCGAAAGGGTAAGCAGAGTAAATTTATGAGTACAAATAATACACACAAATAATTTATACAAGTCATGCATGGAACTTATTCATTTTCTGACAAAGAAATAAACATACCATATCCATATTGGCCGTGACAACGGAAAGGAATAAAGCATTAATCAGAACAATCAGTAATTGGCCCATTGTTGATTTCTGTAAAAAACAAACCATAGGGAAAACAAATTATTAAACTATACTTTTTTCGAAAATTTATTACAATTCGGTAATCGATAATTAATTACAATTCAGTAATCAGGAACGACTTTTTCCAATTGAATTCTCAAAAACTGCCTTCTAATAGCACACAATGATCTTATCCATTAAGGGAAATTTCAGGAATTTAGTAAAGTATTTTCAAGCAACATCTTCTTATCTTCATATCGACTGAGTCATGCACAAATTGAATAAAGTACGAGATTAAAATTGTAAGCGAAAGGTCAAATTTTCACTCAGTGAATGCGGTCAATTTCTTTTTTTTATTCGAAATATAAAGGTTTAAAGGATTATTTTTTGTATCGAAATTGATAGATATTTACATAATAGTTTTGTCTGAATAACAATTCAAACAACCAACGTAATGAATTTGAGTTTATCAATGTTAATATTTTTTTTTATTCATTGAAGTTGATTTATTAACTTCAAGTCAAAAAGTGAAAAAGAAATTAATCCATTTCATCCATGTGCTTATTACCTCTAGTAAATATTATTTTTGAATTATAAATCGCTTACCTTTTGCAGTCGTCTTACAATGTTGATGTGGACGAAGCGTTGCTGCTTAAATACTATCCGTCCAGGATGTAAAATACTTGTTTCTTGGAACATTTGACAGCTAGACAATAGTTGTTTTCCACTAACAATATGTCACGTTTGTATGTAGGAGTTAACCCGACAAAATTTCAAATGAAATCAAGTGGTCATATAAGATTTGGACTAAGGAGATCGTTTTAAGTATATTACGATTTAAAAATATCACTTTCCCCTCAAGGATTCTACGAAAACAAGACCATAACTTGCCAATTAATTTTCTTGGTCTAAATAATAATTCATGATATCCTCTTACACGAATACAAAATCATTTCGTTCATGGGAACAAATTTGTTCAAGCATATCAAATAGATTTTTTAGTAGATTTCAACGAGGTTTTTCAATGTCAGGAATATGGCAGTTGTTTTTAACTTGTTCCGTTGCTTGGTAGCGTCTGATTTTGTCAGTTGTTATGGTCTCCCCCGTTTTTTAATTTTCGTTGGAGTTCGGATTTTTGTTTTACAGTGAAACTTCTCAAAACCGGCCGCCCGTCGGATCACAGTTTGCGGGGTCGCTGGTTTGTTGAAAATTGAAATCATCAAGAGTTACTTCCCTTCAATATGTGTGTTTGAGTATATTTGAAAATGTTTTTTACTTTAATCAAAATATATGTTTTCCTCTTTGAATTTCAGTTTTGTATATTATATGTAGCATAAAATACACCTACAACGTCTGTTTTATCTTATTTTATTTTGATTTTGCAGTAATAATAAATAAAATGTACCTTTTTATCTGACTTAACGCATTACCATGAATACATTGGATAGTTATGACTTTATTTTTGCATGCAATTATAATGATAATATATTCTGAAGAAAACTTTGTTTACCAAGCATCTGATTTTTGTCCCTTCCAATACGATGATTAGTTAACAATTAAATACCATAGTAGGCACGTTCATTAACCGGCAAGGTGAATGTACCGGTTACGAAAACACGAAAAAAACTCCCTTGAAGTTGATAGTTGTAGGAAATTCAACCTGCATTTCACTGCAGAAAAATTTCACATTTATCTAGGGTGTTTTCAAAGCACCATTTTTTTTTGTTTGGTTTTTCTATAAAATATGTTGGAAACTTGAGGTGACGTGGCTACTCAAGCTTGAAAACAAGATAGAGTGTTGAAAACTTGCTTTGTTTACGTCTAGTGAAGATTATTTTCATATATGCAATGAAATGTGGTGTGAAATTTCCAATATAGTACTGGACAGGATCAATCTTTATTAATGCCAAGTACTCGTTTATTTGAGATAAAGATAAATTCTGCACAATTTTTTGAAAAAAATCCAATTTAACAAAGACTAATAGGGGAAAGACAAAGGTAGTATAATCCTATACATCATTGGCTTTTAAAGTTTTGGTTTGAGCGATCGAGATGAAGATACATCAAGAAAGAATTGCAAGGGGTGAATTCATTTCGAGTTATCCATTATGTAGTAAAATATTGAAACGCTTTTGGGATCAGAAGTTAATACTTGAATCATAGCTTACTTATATTATAAGAATTGAGTAAGTGGTGTCAGAATTTCTGTTTGACTACATATGGCTTCAAATTAAGGACAGACATACATTAATTTTACCAAGGAGGAATGAGAATAATCAATTTGATATCACATCTTTTAATTCTAAATGAATACTACCAAATAACACTGACGCTGGGATATGCAGAATTGACGCCGTTTCCATTAACTGCGCATTGTGTGTCAGTTACTCTTTATTCATCACAATGAAATCCAAGACTGTTGAAAAACATTCACCTTGCCGGTTAATGAACGTGCCTCCTATGGTATTTAATTTTTAACTAATCATCGTATTGGATGGGACAAAAATCAGGTGCTTGGTAAACAAAGTTTTTTTCAGAATATATTATCATTATCATTGCATGCAAAAATAATGTCATAACTATCCCATGTATTTATGGTAATGCGTTAAGTCAGATAAACATTTTATTTATTATTCCTGCAAAATAAAAAAAATAAAAAAAGATAAAATAGACGTTGTAGGTGTATTTTGTGCTACATATAATATACAAAACTGAAATTCAAAGAGGAAAACATATATTTTGATTAAAGTAAAAAAACATATTCAAATATGCTTAAACACACATATTGAAGGAAAGTAACTCTTGATGATTTCAATTTTCAACAAACCGGCCACCCCCGCAAACCAGCCGTTTTCCATGGTCTAACGGGCGGCCGGTTTTGAGAAGTTTCACTGTATAACAAAAATCCGAACTCCAAGAAAATTTAAAAAAAAGGGGGAGTCCATAAAAACTGACAAAATCAAATGCTATCAATCAATGGAACAAGTTAAAAGCAACTGCCATATTCCTGACTTGATAACCTAAACCTTGGAAAACCTCGTTGAAATCTACAAAAAAACTATTTAATATGCTTTTAACAAATTTGTTCCCATAAACGATATGATTTTGTATTCGTGTAAGAGGATAGCATGAATTATTATTTAGACCAAGAAAATTAATTGGCAAGCTATGGTCTTGTTTTCGTAGAATCCTTGAGGGGAAAGTGATACTTTTAAATCGTAATATACTTAAAACGATCTCCTTAGTCCAAATCTCTTATGACCACTTGATTTCACTTAAAATTTTGTCGGATTAACTCCTACATACAGACGTGACATATTGTTAGTGGAAAACAACTACTGTCTAGCTGTCAAATGTTCCAAGAAACAAGTATTTCACATCCTGAACTGATAGTATTTAAGCAGCAACGCTTCGTCCATATCAACATTGTGGGACGACTGCAAAAGGTGAGCGATTTATAATCAAAAAAAATATTTACTACAGGTAATAAGCACATGCATGAAATGGATTAATTTCTTTTTCATTGATTTATTTGACTTGAAGTTAATAAATCAACTTCAATAAATAAAAAAATATTAACATTGATAAACTCAAATTCATTACGTTGGTTGTTTGAATTGTTATTCAGACAAAACTATTATGTAAATATCTATCAATTTCGGAACAAAAAATAATCCTTTAAACCTTTATATTTCGAATAAAAAAAGAAATTTACCGCATTTACTGAGTGAAAATTTGACCTTTCGCTAACAATTTTAATCTCGTTCTTTATTAAATTTGTGCATGACTCAGTCGATATGAAGATCAGAAGATGTTGCTTGAAATTACTTTACTAAATTCCTGAAATTACCCTTAATTGATAAGATCATTGTCTGCTATTAGAAGGCAGTTTTTGAGAATTCAATTGGAAAAAGTCGTTTTTGATTACCGAATTGTAATAAATTTTCGAAAAAAGTATAGTTTAATAATTTGTTTTCCCTATGGATTGTTTTTTACAGAAATCAACAATGGGCCAATTACTGATTATTCTGTTTAATGCTTTATTCCTTTCCGTTGTCACGGCCAATATGAATATGGTATGTTTATTTCTTTGTCAGAAAATGAATAAGTTCCATGCATGACTTGTATAAATTATTTGTGTGTATTATTTGTACTCATGAATTTACTCTGCTTACCCTTTCGGAGCAACACCCCGTTGTAAATGGTGTTTCTGGTGCTCGATCTTATGTTTTGTCTGCAGTATATTTTGGTCTATTGGGCGTTTTTCTTTTTGACCAAGTTACTGGTTTTTTTTCTATTATTGTTTATTGTCGTCCTCTTGGTGTTTTCCAACTCCTATCATTCAACTATGATTTTTAAATATTTTTTTTATCATCGTATTCCGAGTGTTCAGATTATATGAACTTTATACAAGAACTAAATATACCTCACAAGGTATTTTTTTTTTTTGCATTTAATCAAGATAAACAAGATGTCAACCCTCATATAAAGATATGACAAAGTCGTATATTGTTATGTATTAATAAAGATAATGTTTTAGATAAAAGCAAATATTCCGCAATCTAAATAAATATCATTGATTATTAAACCTCAGTATATGTTTTTTCTATATAAAATTATTGACGAATACATTTACCCTTTTACGAAATTTCCTGAAAAAGACTATTTACCGGTTAATAGTTTAAAAACTATTTATTGAATATGAACTGTTTACTGGAAGCAAACATTGTCCCGTACTTTCTGTATCATTTGAATTGACTCGTCTTCCGAGACTTCCGAATGATTGTTTCTACTGTAACTATGCTATTTGCGCAGTCATATTCAATTGACCGTATAGTCATTTGTCATATAGTCAATGACCTTAAATCGCCTTGTTCATGACGTTTACGAAACGTTTCCGTAGAGTTTGATTTATGACGTCAATAAAAATATAGCTTTTTAAGAAATGATGGGTTGACAAAAAAATATTTCATTTGTAAAAGATGTAAGAGTTGCAGTATAAGGAGAACAACCAATATATTGTCTCGAAATATAACCCAGTTTCTTTCTGCATAATAAAACACTGTATGTCAGTACAATACGCTACTCTTCTTGTACAACTCATTGTTTTGCATGGAATCAGAAGTATACACATATTTATAGGTTAAAGTATTGGGATTGAAAGCATGATAAAAACACATGTTTGGCTGATCAACATTCTCCAATAATAACAAGTCAAAGATATAACTGATGATAATAATTTTGTATTGTATTTTTTTTTTTTTTATGTTGAACTGTACTTTCTTTATATCACAAATCTTGTTAACATGTGATATTGTTAAGTAAAGACCAAATCATGTCAAAGAATCAAATAGTATAACTCATAAGTATATATTGTCATTTGTATATTTTCACTTTTGTCAATGGTTTCCGTTCGCCTATTTAAACTGCATTTGTTTTTATATGGTGAATTTTAAAAAGTCACTCTACTGATTCGCTTCGCTTTCATTCATTGCTTGTTTTTTTTAATTATTTTGTTCAACCTTTTGGTTTGATTTCAATACATTGCTCTTGTCTTTTTCTGACCTGTTTGGTGTCTAATCAAACGTTTTTATAGTAATGTTAAGACGCAATAACGGTTTTTGTTTCAGAAATTTGGGTATGACGTTATTGAAGGAAATGCCAGATATTCGGAAAACATAGAAACAAATCTAGAAAAGAATGTAGTAAAAATTCACACCCCAGCACACAATGATGTTATGGAATCGTACCAAATTCAAGATTTCAGTCAGGTTTGTGATTACCGACAATGCTATAACCTAGGAATGGTGATTTTTTAACAAAACTTTTCATTATTACACACACAAATGTGGTTGCATTCTATTAAAAAATGAATTTACCGATTTGCTTTATAATATCTTTGAATAATCTTTCATAGAGGTCAACACTGAATTTGAATAACAATATTTCCGTTTTGATTTATATTATCAGTTTGTTTCAGTCATTATAAGGGATTATAATATTCTCCGTATTATTTCGTATTGGAGCTCATAATATAAGAACATTGCCAAAACGTAATTCATATCGTGCTATATAAAATAAAATTGGAAAAAAATATAGGTCACCGATATATTTCAAAGTTTTGCCAATTATCGTATAGATGTATATAAAGAGAAATTTTATACACTAACAAACGCATAATTACGTAATAGTAACTAGCGAAAACTTTATAGGATACAATTTGAAATTCTTTATGATAAATAGTTCAAATAAACAAAATTTGGTGGAATCACCTTCATCAATTACGTTAAAAGCCAAATATTTAAAAGCCAAGGAGGTATAGGTATATGCTTTCAGAAAATGTAAGGATTGTTAAGGGCAACATAGGATAATAGATATATCCAATATTCAATTTTAATCAACTTTATTATATCAATACGAAAGAAATGAAATGTCCGATGAACGAGTTGTAGTTTTTCCAATCTGATTAAAATCAGATCATGTGTCTCAGCTTTGCTTCCTATGGATCTGACAAGACTACATTTTACTTTCTGTTCTGATAATTAATATATCAGCTAATGAAATTTTAGCCTTCAAATATTTGAAGGTGTGTATTAATCAGACAAAACCAGAGGATCCCGATAGATCTTTAAAATAGAAAGTAGAATGGAGCGCTTTCAGATCCTTGTAAGCAAAACTTTGACACAGAGGATCTGTATTTTAAGCCGATTCGCTTATTTTAGGAACCAATTAGGACCGATAATTAACGCATTTTGGGATTGGAAATAATAGAATACTCTAGTACTACCATGAGAGACTACATTCAATTATGTTTTGTTGAACGGTATTCCAAATTTGAATAATAATAATTGAAAATTGTACATCTACCGAATTAATTAACATTGCTAAAAACTTTAATACAGTCACAGTGGTCTTGTGGTAGTGGTATTGTGTTCACCTTGAGAGCGGGAGGTCGTCGGTTCGAACCCCGGCCGGGTCAAACCAAAGACTTTAAAATTGGTATTTGCTGCTTCTCCGCTAAGCACGCGGCATTAAGGAGTAAGAGCAAAGACTGGTTTATATTCATATTACATTAACATGTTCTCGTCCTGAATATGCATATTATTTTCCCGCTGGACGGTAAGCAGCCATCCATCATCATTATCATCATCATCATCATCATCATCATTAAAGATTTTATCATTCTTTGAAATAGTCGGTTTTCGTTACAGGGTCAGCAGATGAAATGTCTCCCTTCCTTGAAGCAATGCAGACTGCGTGACATAGAAAGAGAAACCAAAGGAGATGCTGGTCAAGTTACAGAGGGGTTTATTCACAGCTGGGTATGACAAATGAACATATATGTAACTAATAAAACTCGATATACTTATTACGCATTCATTAGGTTTAAATCATATTGAGATTTCCTCGACCAGTGTCACCATTAACATAATGTTAAAGAGATTAAAATGCACAAGTGTAATTTCGTGTTCGAAAGAGGCATTTAATCGCCATTAAATCGTCTCAAATTTAGCCGAACAATGTTAGATCTGCAAATTTGCAACAGCAAATGTTTGTTTTTCCTTCAGTAGGATTCGAACCCTTGCATCAGAGAAATCGTGGCAACACCGCATGCACTGTGTCCAGCGCCCTATACCACTCGACCAACTAGGCTATATGAAATATATCTTTCGTTAGTTGAGTGATGTTTTTCCTCGTCGGCGTTCTCAGGGTGTTAACACAGTACAGCGTGTATATAAAATTGAGAATTGAAATGGGGAATGTGTCAAAGAGACAACAACCCGACAAAAGAGCAGAAAAACAGCCCAAGGCCACCAATGGGTCTTCAACACAGCCAGAAAATCCCGCACCCGGAGGTGGGCTTAAGCTGGTCCCTAAACAAAAATGTATACTAGTTCAGTGAAAATGGACGTCACACTAAACACCGAAACATAAAAATGAACTAAAATTAAAAAAAACATACAAGACTAACAAAGGCCAGAGGCTTATGTCTTGTGACAGGCGCAAAAATGACAATATATATGTATGTGTTAAACTTTTATTCCAACTGCGTGTAGTTTAAGCTACAAAAATATTTTTGTCATGCATCCGATTTCACCTGGGTAGAACTTTTTCAATGTAACAATCAGCGTGTTTAAGTTATATTCTTAGACATTTTTATAGATAGATAGATATGTATACGTGTGTGTGTTTTAAAATTGAAGAATAATCTCTACTTTTCTTTTTCCAAACAGAACAAAGGCGATAAAACTATAAATAGTACAAACGAAGTGGTCGTCACGGAAATGTATTATGCCGATTTCGATGAAATCATTGATCACAATTCTCTTGGGCAGTCTTTGAAAGAGTTTTACCAGGATTTTAGATACCCTCTTTACAAGGAAATAAAGGTTCCAAAAGATGCTGAAGTATTTAATATGACCAGTTCTTTAGGTAAACAAGGTTCTATGTACTTAAAGTCAAATTTCCAAAATATAAGAAACGTTAACTTTTTTCTGTATTCAGTCTCTATTTGGCTGACCGTTATACTTTGTACTGACTATGTGAACAGAGGATAATCTGCACAGAAAATATGTTGTGAAGTGTTTAGCAAAATTCTTTAAAAAAATAACACCTACATACTTGAAAACTTGTTAAAATCAGGAGATCTGGTTTAATAGAGATACCAAGCCTCCGGAAACAAGAACACGTAAAATGAGTATGTTTTATATTGTATCTAGCTTTATATGTAATATTAACATAAATTTGAAAAAAAACTCATGGCGCTGAGAGGGATATCTCCTTGATAATTTCAGTAACACATATCAATTTAGGTGTAATATCAAAGCTTTTATTACACTTAGTTCAAAAAGTTTTTCTTGGATAATAATGAATGATAAAAGTCAATAATATAAGATATAGTTTAAAGGAGGGTGACCAAATTGGCGAAACATGACACAAACCCAAAGATAAAAATAGTAGATAAAGTTTCAGACTAACTTCATTGTCATTCTTTTATGCCTGACATCCTGGTGTTTTTGCATAGGGGAGATAATACTTATAAAAATTTTTAATATAGTCCAAAACAGGATCGTTTGCTATGACAACATCAATATATAATTAGGTATTGAAAACATATTCTGCATACTCTCTCTTGTTTAGATGTGAGAAATAAGTACTGTTATATAAATATAATTTTGATATAAGTGTTAAGTTAGAAATTAATATATGCATTCATAATAAATATTGTAAATCCCTGACAATCAATGGAATTAAGGGATATTTGTATGTGTTTCACATCCATGTTGTAATAGTACCTCACTAAAACGAATACATAAATGTGAGAGTTGTATCAATGCCACGAATGTTCCGGCGCATTTGTTCAAAGATAATTCTTCTATTCATCTTGTTGATATGTGATCTTGACGGATTGTAGCATTTTGTTTTAGGGAGTCGAACCAAAAGGAAAATCAATTGGCTTAATAACGGCTGTAGAGGCCAAGGGATAAAGACAGTTTATGGTATTGATTCAGGAAGAACCTGCAATCATCTAAAATTGTGCGAAAGGTAAATTGCACATTATTATTAAACTTTAGATTAACATTAACTTAATTGTTATATTTTGGTAATACTCGTCAATATTCTAGAAAATTGAAATAATATCTCGCTTTTAGTAGACAATTTGGTTCAATTTTGTCAAAGATTGCACTTGCTCTGAATAATTCGACCTCATTGAATCCGTATTCATGTGACCTTTAATTTAACTCCTTAGCTGGAGATGGGTTGCGCATGTATTCAGTTATTAAAAGGAAAAAAATGTCAACATTGAAAGTGAAAAAGGATGACCCATTAGGTTGACTGATTCGATCCACAAACAAATCATTCTTATACAGGTAAAACAATGATAAACAAACTTTTTAACCTACAGTATGAAATCAATTAGACCTAGAAAAATCCAACTGCGCGTGATCGCCATCTATCTGTATTTATAATCATGTTTTATCGGGTTAAATAACCGTTGGCGGTGTTCGCTGGTTATATCGATGGTTAATAAGATTACTTCTAGACAAAAATACCCACAAAATGGTGATACATATTATCGAGTCCATGCATTGTTAATGTTTTATTTTAGAATTTTTGTAAATTTGGATAAACGTTTTAGTATGAGAAATTGTGTTAAATCGGTGAACATGAATTTGACAGCTAATGCCCCTTTAACCGGGACCCTCAGAATTGAACAAACTATTTTTTTTATAAAAACGTTTGTTTTGTATTGCAACAAATCATTTGAAAAACAATAGTTTAAACATGTTCTATTCGACAAGTTTGAATAAGGTTAACTTTGTTCTTCTTGATATTTTCAGCCGAGGAATACTTAATGGAGTGAATGTATTTACAGATTGTGACAATGTCCACATTACTTCACCGACGGTGTATCGATGCATATGTTGTCCTTGGGTTACACCAACTACCGGTGATTGTAATTGTGTTACTATGTCGAGATGATTGAACATATGATCAACTCTATCAATAGCATGAACATCATGTTCTAATCCGAATAAAATGATAGGGCAACTGATGTGTTTATATGTTATCTTTTATCAACATAGTTGTTGAGTACAAACTAAATGCTTTCTAGGTACAAACAAGAACGAGAAAGAAGGAAGAAGATAATAAAGACAAGATAATAAAATAACAACAATAAATAATGAATGAAAATTATCCAGTATTGTTTTAAACGTAAAGGTCAACGGAAAATAAGAATGAAACGAGTTTTCTAACCATGACAAGA